TCTGAAGTGGAAGGGAAATATTAAGTGGTGTTTTATGTGTTTTTGTAATAAACACACATAAATGGGTTTGATAGAAACCATTCTGCTCTTCCAAACATCTCTGATCCAAGTGAAGAAAATAATTACCACAGAAAGATGCTGCCACCGCCGTGTTTTACTGTAGGGGATGTCATGTTTCACAATAAATCTGCTATGTGTGGTGGATGTAAAATAGATCATTATAAAAGGGCAGGTTAATGCAAATAAATTTACACTTTAAATAAGTTCAGTCAACAGTTTCCTCTAGTTGAACTTCATGGACAACATCAAGTCTCCCAGTTTCCATTACAAGTGTGCACAAAACTTTATCGATGTTCCACTTATATTAAATAAAACACAATTTCGCAATTACGGTATTTTTATCAAATCTGAAACATGATTAAAATCAGAGGTTAACTAGTTTGTTCACATGATGTCATAAAAAAACCTGCGATGCCATCGTTCTCCTCCCACTTCCTGTTGTCTTCATCTTTTCTTCCAGTAGTAGCCTTGTGTTGTTGAGCATGACTCATATGATGTGAAAAAAGTGTTTCCTTAGCAGTTTTGTGAAATACATAAATTCTGATAGTCAAAAAAAAAGCCTCGTCCTAGCCAAAAAAAAGTTTTTTTTTTGTTTACATTGGAGTGTTTCCATTAAGAAAATTTATTTTTGTACCGTCACTTTGTGCAATTACATGATGAAGCTAGTAACAGGAAAGGAGCAACCATTACATAATGTGATCAGAGACTTCCCTTGTCGTAATTTGTATTAAATGTCGATCATATCCCTGTTCCAAAAAATTATAGAACTACAGCTTTAATTTTTGAGGCCTCCAGAGATAATAATCTGAAACAAAATGGTTCCACTTTTGACACAGAAACAATAATTTTGTTTGATTATCACAGCATTGACAGTAAATATGCCAGTTTGTCTTATTAGCATGTGGGTTTAACTGTTATTTAAATTAAAATGCTCTGTACAGAAAATAAAATGCTGAAAAAGGTCACAGAGTCAATGTTCTGACTTTAACTCACCTTCCATCTCTTTGCTTTAGCAGTTTCATGGAGTGGCAGCTTGTTACAGTAGATCATGCTAAAGATAAACATTAATAAAAATATATATATTCTTCCTGGAATATTTGTAGATATAAAACACTTTATTTACCCTGTTAAATGTTTGGTTACATAAAATCAGTAAAAGCAATATAAAATATGTGCAACGACAACAAGATACTTTTTTTCCTCTAATAGCTTGAGGAGCTTAAAATAAAGTAGAAGCTTACAAAAAGTCAATCACTGGTTGATCCTGCTTTGTTCTTATGAAATTAGCTTTTTTTTCTTCTTTTGTTTGTCTTGCATGCAGCTGTTCATTTTGACGGTGCCGTGAAAGCTGCTGGGAGCTGGCAGTATCCCGAGTTAGCGCCCTCTTGAGGCCAGGAGGGGAACGGCCCTCCTGTGTAATCAGACGGTTGATTTCTCGTGGCGGGTTCTGCGGAGCCGGACCGGCTGTCAGACTGAACAGGCCGCAGTGTGGCGTTCAGGTGCTGCTGGTCCTGCTCAGGACTGTCGTACCATTTCGGGCCTGAGCTGCTGTGGGATGTGAGGTCCTCTGTGGACCTTGACAGAGTGCGGTTGGGAAGACACACGTAATCTTTGTCACGAAGAGGACATGGCGCCGGGAAGAGAGGCACAGCTTCGTATGATTTTGTTTCGCTGACTTCTTTTTGCTGAGCCTCCATTGACATTTGTCCTGAACCCTGTGAAAGAGACGCACACGCATTAAACAGCTGCAAAGCAAAACAAGTGAACAGTAAGTACTTTTTAAAGTACATTTTTTTAAGTTCTCGTAGGCTAGCTTTAAAGCCTAATGTGTTTTATTGCTAGCAGGAGTGTAAAAAGTTACTGTTTATCTAGCAATATCCCTATTTGCTAGCTAAAGGCTATAGCAGCTTAAGAAAGCCGAAGGTTAGCGCTAAAACAAAACGCCAGAGCAAAAATACCAACAAAAAAAAGTCTGTGGAAGTTTGAAAATTTGAAAATATCACTTGATAATTATGTTATTGATGGACTGGATGATTAATACCTGAACAGAAACCATAAAGCCTTAAAAAATGCAAACATTTTAAAAAGACTTAAATAAATAGCCTGGCACAAGTAGAGCCTGGTGGCCCGCCAGGCTTATAATACACTGAGTTACCATCTCACGTTATTTCTTTTCTATAAAGGATTCAACTGACTAAAGAGGTCTTAATAAAAGCTGGTGAGTCAGTGTCTATAACAGACTTTTGCTGGATTTTCAGGACTAAATTTCTATTATTTCCATTTGATTCCTTATACGAATGCTAAGTACTCCTTTATTATTCAGTTTCTGTTCTTTTTGTGAAAGTAGCTGACCTGACAAAAGATGTACGGTCCGCTGAAGCTCATGGACGACGTATCCGAGCCGTGAACGTTATCAAGAGGGGAGGGGAGATTATCACAGTTCCAGCAGCTCCTGCTCTGATCGGCGCGCGTCGTCTCAGTGCTCTTGTTCGGCCAAAGCAAAGCTTCTGAGGAGCTGCAACGGGGGAAAAGGCACATAATGTCATCAGCTGCCTCTTTCTTCTCGATCGCCACGGTGGCAGAGTGCAGACATCGGCTCTCAACAGAAGAATGCATCCTGAGTTGTCACTGCATTCGTTATCTGACTTTTGTGGTGTCATGTGAGTAAAGTGTGAAATTTAGTACCAGGTCGATACGCGGTCGAGGTTCTGCACGCTACAAATGGACATCTTCTCGCTCTGCATGAGGGTCGGGGATGAGGAAGACTGAATCGGAAGGAAACGTGGAAATGAAGCAAAACTTAGTTCAGCTCTCACAAAGCAACACTTGTTCAACAAACCAACAGAAAAACAAAGTCAGTGTCATTTATGAGCTTGGAAAGCCATTTCTAAGACTTTGGGATGGAGCAGTGGCGAAGGTTCAACCAGAATTACTCCAAGAGCGCATCAATGAGTCAGACACATCTAAAGGTCTGCAGGCCTCACTACCTCAGATAAGGTCAGAGTTCATGATTCTAAATGGCCTCCATGGGAGCGCTCCAAGATCAGAACCACTGCTGACCAAAATGAACACAAGGACCTATCTCACATTTACCCAAAGAAATCTTGACGATCCCCAAAGATTTAGGAAAAATATTATTTTAGGAAGATGTACATCTGACCAGAGGCTCACAGAGAATTCATCAGTCAGTCAGACATGGAGGTAGTGTGAAGCTTTGCTTCTTAAAGACTCGCCTAAATTTATGGAGTCATAAATTCTGCCCTATAGCAGAAATCTTATGCGAGAACGTCCAATCATCAGTTCAGGACCTTTAGTCCAGTTAAGCTGTGATTCTGCAGCAGGACATTGATCTAAATTACAGTAGTAAGACTCAAAATCACCAAAATTAAGTTTTTGAGTGGCTGGACGCAATAATAATAATAATTAAAAAAGCTAAAAATTAAGAAATTTATAAGTCGCAAATGCTTTTTTTGCATTACTTTATACACAATGTGAATTTTTTTTAACACTTTAGTCACTTTAAGAAAATAATCCAGTCTCACCTTGATCTCAGACAGGATCTTGCTTTTGCCTGGAGAGGGAACCGAGTCCACCCACATCACAACTTCCCTTAATGGTGGAAAAACATAAATGGGTGTTAATTTAAAACAAACCATTTAAACATAAAATCATCAATTTTGACTTTTGTTTTAACCGCATTTTATACGTTGCAGTCAACGTAAAGCAGCGCTTACTTCCGGCAAACTGGAACGGTGTGGTACAGAGTCAGAAAGAGCGCGACTGCAATCACGCCACAGAAGAAATAAATCAGTTTGGAGACGGACCAGGCGGCTGTCGAGGAGCAGAAACCAGATTAAACAGGTTGTCCTGCTCATAACATCAACACTACGCACACTAATACTGTAAGCACCTTTATTTGAGGTCCAGTTCGCAGGTTCAGACCATTCTGAGGGGATTCCTTCGTATTTGGAACCTGCTCCTGGGGCAACCAGTGACCTCACTTCCACCTCGTAGTCCTGGAGCGGCACGAGGGACGTTCCCAGGATGTTCACCCATGTGGACCCCTCGGGAATGTCCAGCTGCACGGAGGATCCCTGACGGCAGAAATAGAATATTCACACACAACCTATGAATATTCAGGCCCGTTTTCCAGAGCTGCTGTGGTGATTAGCAGCTACAGTGGAAAGCAGGGAGATAAAAACAGAGACGTAAAATCCTCTCACCTGATCTGAGGCCTGGTGATACCGGACCTGGTACAACAGCTTTGTAGCTGCCTCAGCTGGTGGAGACCACTCCACAACCCAGACACCATTATTCTCCCTCACTTTCACCTGCACTGGCGAATTGGGACGAACTGTTGAAAAAGTATAAGATAAAATAACTGTAGCTTGAGTCAAAACGTAGGGTTTAACAGATCCCATTTTTGTTGCTCTTTTGAAAATATACTCTGCATAACCCCACCATTTACGTCGTACACAGTGTTTTGCAAAAGTTAATTTGTAATTATTGAGCGGAAGCAAAAGTTTCACCGTTTTTCAAATTTGGAAATCAGCAACCTTTCCTCTCCTCTCTTAACCCTAAATAGTACATAGCTGTCTTCCCAAGTCACTAAAGTAAACAAGTGACACCAAAGTCCAAATGCGGCACTTTTAAAATTTTTACAAGAAAATATCTTCCTTCTAATTACTCATTATGTTATGTTATTAATCAACATGTCATGTTTTGGACATCTATTACACAAAACAGTATTAAAATAAGTCAGGGATTGTGATTGTGATCTGACAAATCGTGAAAAAGGG